TATATGGTGAGATGATGAAATTATATTAAATCATCATGCCCTGATAATTATTAACTGCAGCCAAATGTAAATGTTGAAAGCAGCAATAAAAGCAAAAGTGATAGAGAATAAAACTACAGGTCTCACCATAGACAGTGAATTGGGCAAGTCAGACAGCTTGATCTGACACTTCAGCAAAGTATCATCGTTGAATAAAAATGATCAGGGGATCCACTGACCAGGTACAGGTTAATGTCACCAGCGATGGCAGGGGACACCTCAGAAGACAAGTCCCATGCCTTCAGAACAAGAATTTCAGAGGACCTGAAGATGAGGAAAAGATCCACTTCACCCTCAAAAGCCTTACACGCAGAGCCTTGACTTGGAACCAGATGACTAGAAATGACTAAAGATTGGCATTTGTCCTGAATATTCACAATCGTAGCAAAACGTGCACTCATACACAAAACCCAGAAGACTCTTGCTAATTTCAGAATGGGAAAGGTTCGAATATTCACCTGGAGAGAGGATATGTTATTGCAGCTAAAATACCCAGTTGGACTGTCCCAACCCGTTTCTCCTATGGGTTTTGACATCTGAGTCTGAGAGAGGCCTGAGGTGCCAGTTCTCCTTGTGGACTTCTCTCCCAGGCGCGCAGACGCAGAGGGACCCTGTTGTTCCTACACCTCCTACTGCCTTCCTCAGGCTGGGGCGACTCCCACAGCTTGTGGGAGGCTGCTGAGAACAGCCCTGGCCCCAGGTCCAGAGGGCAGAGCCGACCCCAACAGTACCCATTCTTAGGAAGGACGCTGCTCCATCCTGGCAGCTCAGAAACTCAAAGGACAGCTCCTCCTCCTACAGAGCTGGGGACAGCCTATGGGCTGCCATCACCACTTCCAGAAGATGTGTGCGGTGCGTGGGTCAGTTCCGTGACTCCGAGGCCGTGGGGCTGCGGACAGTGGACATGAGGTGTGACTTGTAGGTCTTGCTCAGGCCTGTCATCCAGAACTTCAGCAGCTTGACGTTGTCTTCCTCAGATGCACCAAGGATACTCAGGAGCTTCTGTGTGTCCTCTTTGGGCCGACTGTCCACCTTGGTGAATTTGAAAAGGACCTTCACCTTGCTGTGGAAAACCAAAGACAAAACACTCAGACAACAGAGCACAGCCCTGAGAGTCCTGGTTGTGGGCCCACATAGCTTCGGGACCAGCGGGAGCTACACAGGCTGAGCTGGACTCAAACATGGTGACAGCTGGCACCGCACACTGAAGGGCCTCTCACTGGCCCGTCAGTTCTAACCCTGGGGAACAAGCCTGGCAAGCTAGAACAGCAAAAACAAAGAAAGAAAAATTTTCCTTAAATTCATGGAAGAAACTGGTTGCTCCCAAGCTTCACTATATTATTTGAAATCAGGGCCCAGGCACGGTGGCTCATACCTGTAATCCTAGCATTCTGGGAGGCCGAGGTGGGAGGATTGCTTGAGCCCAGGAGTTCAAGACCACTCTGAGCAAGAGCAAGACCCTGTCTCTACTAAAAACAGAATAAATTAGCAAGGCGTGGTGGCGAGTGCCTGTAGTCCCAGCTACTCGGGAGGCTGAGGCAGGAGGATTGCTTGAGCCCAGGAATTTGAGGTTGCTGTGAGCTAGGCTGACACCATGGCATGCTAGCCCAGGCAACAGAGTGAGACTCTGTCTCAAAAAAAAAAAAAAAATCAGGATGATGTTTGGCTCAATTAGTCAAAAAAATTACCAAGAATCAAGGCAGGAGGAAATAAAGTAACTTGCTTTAAAATAAAGGGAGCGCATGTTGCAGGGCTTTCAGATTTTAAAAGTTAATTAAACAGCAAAATAACAGAGCTTCAGTTACAAACCTCTTTTGTGCATTTGGAATCCTCCCTTAGCCCTCAATAGCTCTTAGAGCTGGGCACCGCCCCTACCCAAAGAGTGGGTGCCGGGGCAGTAGACGCTAGTCACCTGGGGGTCACCCATGCTGGTAAGAGGCAGAGCTGGTCTGGAGCCCACGGTCTCAACCTCCACTCTAACTGCCCCCGTCAGTGGCCATAGCCAGTATCTTTTTGGAAATAGCTTCTGATTCTCCTCGGCAGAGCGCACCACTGTGGCTAGCTCGGCCCTCCGCGGTCGGAAAGCAAAGCAGTCCCGCGGCTGAGGCTGTGAGCTTACTTCATCCACTCCTCCTTGAGGCAGACGAGGCACTGGTCCACCACGTCCACAGACAGATTTTGGTTGGTCAGAGCCGCCTCGATCTTGTTCAGGATGGTGGGGCCGACTGGGAAAAGGGGCCGAGGCAAAGCGGGAGGCATCAGTGCTGGGCCCGGAGACTCCACGCCCTTCCTCCTCCCAAGGAAAACGTAACCCGCTCAGCAGCACCCACCTCGGTCTGCGGCAACGGGGCTCCCGCTGGTCACCACGAACTCATACTGGCTCAGAGGCTGCTCGTCCTCACACCTGACTGGGTGGAGGGTGGAGCGGGCGGCTGCATGGACCTCCACGATGACGGCAAATTCTGTGGCAACACAAGACACACCATCCAGTTCTGTGCTTCTCATTTCATCCTAAACAAGCCCACTGAGTCCCGCCTCCAGACCATCTCACGTCAACAAGGAAACACCGCCAGGCAGAAGGTCTCTGAGAGTGATGCTTTGGTATTTAAAACCTCTTGCAGTTTACTTGTGAAGAGAGTTAAGGGTTAACCTGTGCGTCCATTAAGCTAATAACTTATTATATTACAATACTCATCAATTACTTCACACATATCAATTCACTTCACACTAAGCAACCCTATGAAGATGGTCCCACTATTACCCCCGTTTTACAGATGGGGAGATAGAACCAGAGAAGTTAAGTAAAGTGCCCAGGGTCATACAGCTAGTAGTGTAAGGATTTCAAGCCTCTCTCTGAAACTGCAGCCTGTGTTTCTGACACTACTCAGGAAAAAGGCACTGGCTCTCAGCGAGGGCCTCATGACCCGCCTGGGTGCCGAACGGGGTCTGCTGCTGGCAGCTGAGCGCCCGCCTGCCCCTGACAGATGTGCTCAGAGAAGTCACTAACTTGCTGGGAGGCTGACTCGTGGACATCCCTGAACCAAAGGCGAGGGATGATCCGCTTCCTGGTTCTCTGTGGCAGAGGCACAAGCCCTGGCGGCGCCAGGAGCCTCAGGGCACACGCCAGGCTCAGGGAAGGAGGAGAAGACTGGGGAGCACGAGGACAGGGGAGAGGCCAGCCCTGACTCCCGTGATATCCACTCATCAGGACAATGAGCCCCTAGTGGCCACATGTGCTGTTCTCGGTGGACATGTGCCCTCCTAACCCCAGGACTGTGACCTGTGGCCTGCCGCCGTGAGGCTATCCCATCCAACCCCACCCTGTGAAGACAGCCACAAGGTGTGCTGGCCCCACAGTGGGGGCTCCCGCCTGCGAGGCCAGCAGGACACGTCCTCAAACCCGTGACTAAGATCTGGTTCCACTCTGGGCCCTGAGGTGCGGGGCTCTCTGTCCTGAGAGTCCACGCACCCCGCAGCCTGCGGCGGCACGTACCTGAGGACAGCACATGGGCGGGGATCTGCACGTGTGGGCTGAGCCCCAGGAAGTTGCACCGATAGGCCTCTTCGTACTGGCTGCTGTATGGGATGGTGCGCACACAGCCCACGGGCAGCATGGTCTGGGGAGGACAGAGCGACACAGCCTGGCCTGTCTCCATCACCCAAAACCACACGCTCCTGCAGCCCAGCCCAAAGCCTCCCTCCTCCCAGAGGTACCCCTGGTCCCTCAGGCCGTGGGGTGTCTTCCACACCAAGGCCCCAGCTCTTGTCTTGGCCATCAGTCATACACCGGCTTGTGCTGCCTCTTGCTTTGCAGTATGAACCCTTCCTTATTCTTTGCCCTCTCAGATGTCTGTCCCTCTCCCTGAGCCGCAGAGAGAGAAGCTTCTGCAGGGATCGTGTCACATTCATTTTTGTTCCCTCGCAGGCTCTGGCAGTCAGCTGGCATGGACATGCTTTCTGACAACCTAACCGTCATCAGACCAGATCCGGCCTGGCGCCCACTGCAGCTCCGGAGGGAGGCAGTGCACTGCGCCCACCTGCGCACGCGCCTTGTTGAGAGCACCCCTGCAGAGGAGGGCATAGTGCCTTTCCTGCTTCCGTGGCAGCTGTGAGCCACTCAGATGGCTTCTTAGAGGGACTTGGGGATTGGGGAGGAATAGGTAGTTATCAATCTATCAGGACAACACAGACTCCTTCCATGGGAACTAAAAAACATCCACAACTGCCATTTTTAATAGCAGAGGAAAAAAACCACGGTCTCAGATTCAGGCATGAACTGCTCACAAGGTTCTGCACTGAGCAGTCGAAGCATCTTAACATTCCCACCTAAAGTCCGACACTAGGCCAGTAACCGTCCCACTACACACACATAAGGGAAAAGTGTTCTTACCCGAAGAACTTCGAAAGCTGACTGGACAAGGTCCATGTCTCTGCTCTTCCAGATCACCTGATTCCCCATGAGAACATGCCAGGCCAACATGCGAAAAGATGGGGCACCCAGCACCTAAAAAATACAATGGAGTGCTTTCTACATGACCAACAGAAATATTTTTTCTCTCCCCTCCAATGCAAGTTATTTCGTTCATGTGTTTAGAAACTTTGTAAAGCAAAGGAAGATGGGTCAGGAAAGAGAAAGTCGCTTATCTTCTCAGCTTGAGGCTGGATGACTTGCCCAGTGGAAGTCCCCAGATCTGCACTTAAAAGTCAGATTTCAAAGCTGTTACACCCTTTGAGATCTTTTTCCAATTTAATTTTTCAAAATCTGAAGCAAAAAGGCGTTAACTTTTTGCAAAATTCACCTTCTCTTTATGGACACTTTATTTTACTGAACCACTTGAAAGAAAGCTGCAGATCCCACGACACATTAGCACCTGGGCGAAGCCAGGGCTTCTCCTCCACACCCCAGACCATGGCTGTATCCAAGGAAGACCACGTGGATGTGACATACCTCATATTCAGTCACATACCACGTGCACAAGCCCAATACTCTGAACATGTCTTTTTTTTTTTTTGCTCTGTCACGCAGGCTGGAAGGCAGTGGTGTCATCATAGCTCAATGCAGTCTTGAACTCCTAGGCCCAAGCAATCCTCCCGCCCCAACCTCCCAAATAGCTGGGATTATAGGCACACAACACCGTGCCTGGCCAATTTTCCTATTTTTTGTAGAAAGGGGGGTCTTGCTGTGCTGGTCTCGAATTCCTGGCCTCAAGCAATCCTCCTGCCTTGGCCTCCTAAAGTGCTGGGTTTACAGGTGTGAGCTATTGCACCCAGCCTGAAAATCTACTTTATAGCTGCTGTTCCTTTGATCCAGGAACCATTTAGGATCATGCTTGCTCTTAGCTGTCATGTCTTTGTCCTTTAATCTAGAGCAGTCCACCCTTCATTAACTTCCATGACACTGAGGTTTCAGAAGAGTCTAGCTTATTATCTCATGGCTCCTAAGAAGCCAAACATGGCTTTGAAACAAAACCAAAAAAACAAAAATGAGGCTATAATACCACATTTTACCAAGCCCAACACCCTCAAAATAGTCCCACCTCTAGTGGAATTCAAGATTCTTTCCAACCTTATTCCATGTAAACAAACAATAAGGATGATTTCAGCCAAATACATGATTTTGACGGAATGAGTGTTTTCATCCAGAAGGCTCATCGAGCACCTGCCATTAAATCAGTCTCACTCAATGTTCAAAACAGAAATTACTATCTTCTGATAAAATCAACACTCACTGTAAAAATAAATACAGAAAATATAAAAAGGGGACAACCTGCCCTTGTAATCGAGCAATCCCCTCCTCTCATCTGACCCAATATAACCAAGGTCAACACTGTTGTGGGTTAGATTTTGCTTTGTCTTTAGTATGCATACATATACACATATACACACATGCCACGTGTCACCCTGTACACACTGTATGCTTCCAATCTTCTATGATACATCCCATTGTTTGGATATACCATAACTACCATAGTTGGACATGTAGGTTGTTCCTAATTTTTTTAAGAATGACCATCACTTTCAATCTGCAAAGAGTAGAGACTACACGCAAATCGACAGTAGGGTGGTTTAATCCCTTCAGGAGGTTCTAGAAGGTTAGAGGACCACAGGATGCTGACCATCTGGACCTTTCTTCGAAGACACCTACATCGTCACTAAAAGGCGAGCGCTTACCCTGTGGCTAATACCCCCCGACCCCCCCATGCCTTCAGCCACCCACCAAGGTTCTTGGTCACTCCCTGCTGGATTTTGAAGATAATGGGCCCACAAAGTGTGCTGGATGGAGAACCACTGGACTCTTCTCCAAGTTGCTGACGTGGCTGCCCTCTGCTGCCTACCTGCCGCATGTGCCGAAGGGACTTGAAGACTGGCGGCTTTCGGGGCTGCCAGCCCCCAAGGCCTGACAGTGAGGAGGACCCTGCCGGGCACTGGCTCAGCTCCCGCCCTTCTGCACCCTCTGGCAACGCAGCAGCTTTCTCCTCTTCTTCAGCCTCAGAGTTGTCCCAGCTTTCTGATTCCTCTTCTAAGTCTGCAAGACAGGTGACAGGGACAGTTACAGAATGCGCTGCCCCTTGGATGCAACAGTCTCTTTGTGTGACTTCAGCCTGAGGCCAGTTGAAACTTAGTCCAGGCTGTGGCCAGCTATTCATGCTCCCTGGTGCCCTGGGAGCCCAGGGAAGGGCAGGGAGGGCTCGGCCGCTGTCAATGAACTTGGAACATCATGGTGAGTCATAGGAGCTCTTGCTCAAGGACCACAAGCTGTTCACTGTTGGTGAGAAAACTCAAACCAATGACGAACACGCCGGACAGTGTCTGTCTACTGAGCACACCCTGTCAGGGGCTGTTCTCAGGGACCCACGCGTCGTGTCATTTAGTCTTCTCCACCACCCTGACACCAGCACTGTTACGCCCATTTCACAGATGAAGTGTCACTTCCATGAACCTTTGTGGCAGCCCTCACAAACGACCACATCTCCATTCCGTGTCACAAGACCCACAGGGCAGGGCATGCGTGAGGAGCAGAGCCAGGACTTGACGCCAGGTCTGTCCGACTCCAAGGGCTGTGCCCTGCACCCGATGCCAGCTCCTCCGTGACCACGCTGCAGCTGGAAACTCAACGCTGCATCCTGCATGCTGCGTTCCAGCTCATGAAGGCTTCGACAGACCTGGCTGTGTGCGAGGCAGTCTGACCGCGACACTACCCTTGCCATCCGTACCAGCACGGAAAGTCATGATCAGCACAGCGGTGAAAGTTCTTGGGCTGCCGGATGCGTGAGGGCAGACTGCAGGGCTTCTCTTTGCTGAGCATGCCCTGCTGCTGCCGAGACCCTGCTCAGGAAAGCTTATTTGAGCACGAGTGAGAGTCAAGTGCTTGCCTGCAGGAGCGTCCTTGAGACAAACCTGACTGTCCAGAAGGCTAGTCATCTGTGAACTGAAGCACGGGAAGCATTACTAATGACAAGCTGCACACGACACACGTCAAGAGTCTATATGCTCATCCTGCGGCTGGGACCGTGGAGCTGGAGCACCAAAAATCAAATGAACCCTGGCAGAAGCTCAGCAGGATAGAGACCAGGGGCCCCTGGGAAGTCAGTTGAACACAATAGGGCCCTTAGCCCCAGACACAGAGATTCTGATCAGGAACCCACAGAGGCCCAGACACCTGGGAGGTTGGGAAACCAGTGCCCTTGATGGAGAGCTTAAGTCCAACTGAAACAGGGTGCTTCATCTGTAAAGGGACAGAGACTAAGAGACGACCTACACGGCCAAGCATGTGGCCATCATCATAAAATAGATACCTTCAATCAGCCAGTTCTCTCCATAGACAATCCAATAGCGGATTTTCCCAACCTACCTGGGGAACAGATTCTTTCACGTGACTGTCTAGGCAAATGAGATGGGAAATCACAAATATACCAAGACCAATGGCAGGCTATCACGCTGGCTCATCCTGGACTCATTCAGAGTCATGTTTCCCTTCATCAGCTCTTCCAACCAGGACGGCAGAGTCGGGGGCCCCTGATGGCCACTGTGGACCAAGTACACCATGGACCCCAGCAGCAGGACCCCAGGCTCACCAGCGAGCTTCTCCATTTGGACCAAGGTGTCTTCAGTCGGTGCGCCCTCCAGGAGCTTCTCGGTCAGTCGGCTGCCACATGCTTTCAGGAGCCTGGAGAATGCAGTGCCAGATAAGAGCCTTCTTGCCAAACCTGACGTTCGCCTAGCTCCTTGATCTAGCTACCAGTTTGCAGAAGACATAGGTATAAAAGAACATGCTGAACACCACAAGGCCACAACTAGCAAGATCCTGAATGCAGGTGATTTTGTAAGCCGAATGACCAAGGGCCTTCAATGAAAGGTAGGTGGGACAAGTGGGGCAGGAGGAACATTACAGACCAGAGAGAATTGGGATGCTGCTTTGATCCCAATGCAAGAGCTGTTTTTGTTTTTGTTTTTTTAGACTGGAGTGCAGTGGTGCATCATGATAGCTCAATGCAGCCTCTAACTCTTGGGCTAAATGATCCTCCTGTCTCAGCCTCCCAAGCAGCTGGGACTATAGGCATGTGCCACCATGCCCAGTTAATTAAAAGATTTTTTTTTTTTAGAGACAGGGTCTCCCTATATTGCCCAGGCTGGTCTGGAACTCCTGGGCTCAAGTGATCTTCCTGCCTTGGCCTCCCAAAGTGCTGGGATTATAGTGGCCCAGGACTGGATTTAGACATGAGATCCTAGATTTCAAGCTGAGGTTACATAGGGATGAGAATTTGGGGACAGAGACTTTGGAAGGAATGAATATATTCTGCAGTGGGAGGAACAGAAATAACTGGTGGCCAAAGGACAGACTGGTGGTTTTCAAGTATGTCCACAGATTCACTAAACTCCTTCCTCTCTTCTCATGACAGAGGCTAATCCCTCCCCGACTGGGCTGGGCTTAGTGACATGGCACACTTCTAGCAAACACGGAGTACTGGAAGTGACAGCATGTGTCTGCTGAGCTCAGGCCCTGAGATCTTGCAGATTCCACCTCATTCTCTCTCTCTCCTTTTTTTTCTTTTTTGAGACAGGGTCTTGCTCTGTCGCCCCAGCTCAAGTGCAATGTCATCATCATAGCTCACTGCAACCTCCAACTTCTGGGCTCAGGTGATCCTCTTGCCACAGCCAGAGTAGCTGGGACTATAGGTGTGCACCGCCACGCTCAGCTAATTTTTATTTTTTGTAGAGACGGGGTCTCACTATTGCCCACGCTGGTCTTTAACTCCTGGCCTCAAGCAGCCCTCCCACCTCAGCTTCCCAAAGTGTGGGGATTATAGGTGTGAGCCGCTGAGACTGGCCCTACCTCAATCTCCTGGCTCACTCTGGGGAAGCCATTTCCCAGGCCCACAGCCAGCCGTGGAAGGAGCCGCTTTGCAAGCAGCCCTCCAGTCAACCTCAGCTGGCTGAGCCCCCGCAGACGAAAACGCTCAGACCCTGAGCCACAGCCACTCGGCTAAGACACTTCTGACTTCCTGACCCATGGAAACTGAGATGAATGTTTACTGTTGTTTTTTAAAAAGGGAGGGAATCACTGGTCTTGGTACAAAAACTTCTTCTGTTTTTAATACACTAGAAAGTGAGCGCCATCTCAGTGTGCTTTCCGCACACGACGGGTGAGAAGCCCCAAGAACAGGGGCTCTCGAGTGAGTCCAAGGCAGAGCTGCATGCAGAGGCAGCTGAGCAGATTCGCACAAGGACTGTCCTCCCAGATTTGTGGACAGTCTCACCAGCGTGTCGCTACTGCTCTTATTCTGACACCCGCTAAAAGCCCTGGGACGCCGTTACCAAGCAAAGGAGGTGTGGAGGCACGCCCACAGGTTGTCGTCGCTGGTGAGCGACGTCAGCGAGCGCGCAGCGTTGCCATTCCTCTGGTGCAGGAACGGCGTGAAGGCCGTGTTCATCCTCTGAGCGCGCTGGGGGCACCCGAACTGCTCTGCCTCGAACACCTGAAATGCAAAGGGAAGGGGCAGCCTCTTCAACCAAGTCGGACTGCTGGCAGCCTGGACCCAGCTCATTCATAGCAAATGTCACAGATCTGACTTCCGAGGGCTCCGTCCTGCTCTGCTCTTGTGACGTGGAACACAGAAAGTGCCGGCAGTCTAATAATTCCAAACAGCGTGGCTTTGCCTCCCCGCCTAGATTAGGAGCCACCCAAGAACAAGAATCAGTTAAGACCATCTCCTGTCCCCTCTCCTACGGCTGACTCCGCAGGTGCTTGGGGGGGTGCAGGCCGTAGGCCTGTGGAGGTGGCCATCAGCGTCGCGTTTCTAGGCCTCCCCCTTCCAGGCCCCCTACTCAGCCTTGATGAGGGACATGACTAGCTGCCGCTGAGAAAGTGAGAGAGAAACAGGCCCTCTGGCATGCCCTGCCTTCTGTTGGGCGGAAGGAACAACATTCCAAAACGGCTGCTGCTCTGCCCATGGCGGTGACGACGACCAGCAGGTAGCCCGCTCTGCTGCAACGCACACAGGGCAAGAGCAAGAAACGGTCCCTGTGGTGCGAGGCTGCTGAGATGAGACCGCTGGAGGCAGGCACGCGGCAACAGTTAAGTGAGAATTGACAGTGAGGGGCTCAGCCTCCCACCAGTGGGTACCAGAGCATGACCTGGCCTGTCCTGAGACACGATGCCCCCGCTGGAGGTCTGGGTTAGGTGGCTGGTCTCAACAGGATTAACGGACAGTCTGAGATGAAGGTCAGAGGAAGCAAAGGGAGGAACAAGGGTTCTGACTCCAGCCAAGAAACCAGAGCTGAACGAGAGAACCAGGACAATAGAGGCAGGAGAGACCACTACAGCAGACGACCCCGACTCTGAAGGGAAGGTGTCACGGCAGCCTCGGGCTGAGAGTACTAAAGCTGCCTGGGCTCCCAGCCCCACCCTTGGCACAGAGAACGATTCCTATGGTGCGAGTTCCCCCACCCTGGTGCCTCGTGCTCAGACAGCACCTTCAGTGCCTTGCCCTGGAGCTCATCGATGATGCCTCGGACCTTCCCCAGCAGGAAGGGCCAGGAGTTGATGAGGTAGATCCGGTCCATCATGATGGTGATGATGCTGTACCAGCGCTGGAAGCCCCTGGCAAGGCTGTCTTTGATGAAGAAAGTGTGGCTGAACACAAAGCCATGCTGCTCGTCTCCAAAGAAGATGGGCCCCTCACGGCCAGGGCAGACCTGGAGGGAACGACAGCGACTCGAGACAGCCCTCTCCTCCCTTCTTCAACACCAGGTCGAAGCCTCATCATCTGGCTTTTGCTTTGGACAATTTGGCCAGCACTGATTACAGGGACAGTAGCAAGGGAGGGTGAAAGCAGGAGACTCTGCACTCTTCTGCTCCTGTGGTCAAGCTTCCTAAAGACAACATTTGTCACTGTGGAATGCCAGGCCAACAGAGGTTTATTGCTTTTTCTAGCTTGAGCCACAAATGTGCCACCTTGCTCATCTGGAATATGCTGAAGAACCAGCAGGTCAAAATAGTCACTGCAAACTTCGTAGAATAAAATCTGCACACTTTATTTTCACAAGAGGACTTCAGTCCCTCTCTCATGACATATTTACTCTTACTTAACACACAATGCTAACAGACATGCCCACCTGTCTGCTAGCAGACCAGCAGCAGGAAATGAGACTGGCTGGAGGCAGGCAACAATTAAGTGAGAACTGACAGTGAGGGGCTCAGCCTCTCATCAGTGGGTACCAGGGCAGGAAGTTCAGTAACTGAACCATGAATTCTCTGTGACACACAAAAACCTAAGAGTTAAGACCCAGGCTCAGCAGTGACCACCATGTAGTTTGGGAACAAATCGCTTCTCTGCAGGGTCTGAGAGCAGTCCATGGCGATCAATGAGGCTGGGAATGAGGACTGAGACAATAGAAAAGGTGGCAATTGATGCAGTGAACTATGTACCTTAGAAATAATTCCTAAGTCAGAAATATGTCCATCAAGAATGGACAAATAATAAAAGTTTGGTGCTCAAAGTGAAAAGCTAGCACCCACTCAGAAACCAGTGAGTCCAGAATGACTTATTCTTTAAGTTCTGGACAAGTGAAGCATCCCCTCCCCATGCTGCGCTACGCGTGGACCCTGTGTGAGGAAACGAGCGCCCGCCTCCCTCCCCACAGCCATGCTGGCCTTCTCAGGGCCACCTCAGAGCGCGAGAGCTCCCAGCGAGACTGGCCACGGCCACACACGGCTCACCTCACAGCTCAGGCTCCGGACGCAGGCCTGGCGGACAATGCTGAACAGCTGGGGGTGGTCGGGGTGCTGGTGACTGACATACTTGATGGAGGTCTCTTTATCGTGGCTGATGTATCCTGGGTGTCCTGCAGCCAGTGACCGGCAGCCCTGCCCACCAAAAGGAAAAGAAAATCCGTTAGTTGGGAAACAGGTAACAAACTGTCTTACGCTTACGCAAATCTGGGTTTAGAAACACAATCTATCTTCGTATAAAAAGCACTGGCTTTTAGGTTTGTACTTATCTGAGGACTTAAATGTTTCCTAAATAGGAAAACCAGGACACAGAGATGCCGAGGTTGCCAGAGGGTAGTCCTGACAGATCTCACCCACTGAGCACTCACCCAGCAGGCACTATGGCAAGAGTTCTGTGCAGTTTATCTCCTTCTATTGAAGAATTCTCACCCTGTGAGAGAATCACAGCGAGAACCCCCATTTCACAGAAGACAAACTGAGGCTGAGACAGGAAGTAGCTGGCCCCAGGGCACAGGGCTGGCAAGGGGCACACACTGTGCTCTGGGCCACTTTTCTGGATGATTCATCCACCCCCCACCCCTCTATCCGTGATTTGGAACTAACAGCTGCCGGGGCCTCAGGAGGGACTGGGCAGGCCCCTCCCTGGGCCGGGGGACTCCTCCAAGGGCAACCCCGATCCTGGCTCAAGGACTCTCCCGCTGCCTGGCCGAGCCCTCCTTCCCTCTAGCTCTGGCCTCCCAGGTCCGAGGCACTCCCCACCTTCTGTCCCCACACCTCTCGCAGGCATTTCCAGCAACAGATAAACCTCTCACGTGTCGTCCACTTCTCAGTGGAACCAAACGAACCAGGTTGGTTTGTTTGCACCAAGTGGCAGGTCTGATACCCAGTCCTGATTTGGGGTCCCGACCCAAGTCCTCCAGGCAAAGAAGTGGCCCATTAGGGGAAATTTAAACTAATTTCCCAGAGCTCAACATGGAACCCTGGGGATCTACAAGGAGGAATCTCCGCTGGGAGCACCAGGTCTCAGGGACCCCTGCCCAGGACAGGCTGGAGTGCGTGAACACGAGGTGGATGCCACAGCAGGGAGGCACAGAGAAGTACATGCCAGCCTCCCAGCTCCCTGAGAAGCCATCTGTGTCAGCCCTGAAGCCCTCACCCCCAGCTCTTGGGACCGCAGGGTCTCCTGTCCATCCCACACTCCCCACAAAGAGAGCAAAATGTTCCTGAGAGCCCAGAGACACTTGCCTCGCACATGTCTGACTTTTTGGGCCCAGGGCTGCTGGATTCGGTGCTGGCCCCTTCTGCTGGGCTGTGTGCACGGATCCGGCTGCTCATCTGAATGCCGCCTTCCTCCTCCTCGGCCTGTTCACCCTGGCCAGGGCTATCCCCATCCTCAGCCCCGTGGGGAAGTGGGGCATGGAGCACCTCCGTGCAGAAGAGAGTACGAGGGCCATGGAGCTCGCAGAAGTGACAGAGAGCAACAATGGCGTTCATGGTGCCTTGGAGACTGCAAGAGGCCTGGTGGATCGTGGAGGACATGTTAGCTGGCCAGCACCTGCTCACGCAGCGAAACCTGCCCGGCACCTCTGGGGCACAGGGAGCACGTGGGTGTTGGTGGTGGAGTCCCCGCCCGCCAGCCGGCGCAGTGTGGCAGCTGCTCTGCGGCAGTGCTGCACTGGGCACAGGGGAGCTGAGAGGAGGACAGACAGGGTCCCGGAGCACAGGGGTCACAGCACACAGAGGAGGGAGAATGTGAGTGAACGGGCACACAGAAAACCTTTCGGTGCAACTGTGCTAGGGCTTGAGGCTGATGGTGCAGAGCGAGGACACGTCCTTGAGTGACAAAACAGCAAAACATGGCAAACCCCGTTGGAGCGACACAAATAAAAGGCCACAGGGTTCTGAGGAGAGGTTCCTCCAGCTGGTGCACGTTTGCTGCCGGCTGAGGCTGCAGGTGCTGCCCTGGTGCAGCTGAGCTCCGCGGGCGGACGCAGGGAAGACTTGCCCCTTCCCACCAGGTGAGGAGCTTCATAAAGACCTAGCGGGCCGGGGTGGAGAACACCTACAGGAGGGGGAGACCGGGAGGGACTGGCCCCCAGGGTTTCCGCAGTGAGAGCCGAAGGGATCAGTGCTGCCACTGGGGGATGGTCAGAGTGTCTGGAGAAGAGCAAGAGACAAGGCACAGGGCACAGGGGACAGGGCACAGGAAGCAGATCTCCCGGCCCCTTCCAGGCCGTGGAAAGATCTTTTCAGAGACTGGAGAGGCTTTGGTGGGTTCAGATGAGAGACATGAGGTTTGAATTTCATTTTAAAAGGCTCATTCAGGCAGAAAACACTGCATGGGGCCAGTGTTAGGTGGGGAACCAGCTGAGGCATCCCATGGATCCAAGCGACAGGGACAGTGGCCATGTTCCCGAGGAACGGTGGCAAGACTGTGGATGGGGGTGCAGGGCATGAAGGAAGGGCCGGGAAGAATGCGGGGAACAGGCACAGGAGGTGGTCCAGCGAGTGCTTGCTGAGCCTCTGCGTGGAGACACGCGGTGGCGGCGCGGGTGTGGGACTTCCAGGGAACTCAAGGTGTGAAGAAGGGAGGAGGAGCTGGCCCAGCTGACAGCATGGCCAGGGAGGCAGGAGGGGAGCTCCAGGTCACGCAGCAACCAGGTGAATGGAGTGCTTTAACAAGGTGGAAACGGAACGTCACGCAGCCGTCAAAAGGAAGGAAATCCTGCCACATGTGATAGCATGGCTGGACATTGAGGACATTATGCTAGTCACAAAAGGGCAAATACTGTGTGGTTCCACTCATGCATGGCAAGTGGAGCAGTCAAATCCAGAGAGACAGAAAGTAGAGCGGTGGCTGCTGGGACTGGGGAGGGGAGGGTGGGGAGCTGGCGTTTAATGGGCACGGTTTCAGTTCTGCAAGACAAAGCATCCTGGAGACGGACAGTGCTGACGCTGCACGGTGTCAGTGCTGACACCAAACTGTGCGCTTAATGATGGTTAAAATAGTACATTTTATGTTATGTATACTTTATCACAATTCAAAAAACAAGGAGGGTACGGTCACCTGCAGAGCAACATGGAGGTCACTGGTGACCTTAAGAAGTATCATCTCTGGTGGAGAAAAAGCTTGAGGGAGTGAATCCAGACAACCCTTCTGGGAGTTTCTGTGGCAGTGACAGGAACAGGGCAGCACCAGGCAGGGACATGGTGTCAAGGAAGGGCCACCTACCCCCCAAGCCTGGCTACAGCACAGCAGAATCTGATGGATGGTGTGAAGGCCGCGGGGCCTAGTGCATGGGCTGTGGGCAGCAGTGGCGGACTTCACCCTCCGCGACAGGAGGGAGGGCAGATGCGGGGCCTCTCTGTTCGGGGATAATCAGGGGAGGCTCTGAACATAGGGGCTTGTCCACTAGTTTCTGACAAGCAGAGAGACGCTCTAGAAACAAGACCACAGGAACAAAGGCATAGTGGCAGGGACAGCTGCAGCCAGCAGCCTGACATGTGACAAAGGAGGCCACGCGGCCAGCTGGAGGAGGATCTGGAAAGCTAGGCTAGAATGACCGTGCACTCTCCAGACCCATGTTGTCCAATACGGTGGCTGCAGACACGTGTGGCAACTAAATTTAAATTAACTGGTACAAAAGCTCAGCCCTTCTTTCTCACTGGCCAGGTCCCAAAGTGTGCGCTAAATGCATGTGGCTTATGGCCACTGCTCTGAACAGCGCAGATTAGGGAACATTTCTGTCCTCACAGAAAGCGCCATTGGACAGCCTTGCTCCATGCCACGAGGAACCATTTAAATTTCTGAATGTTCAACCAAGCAGCGGACACCGGCCAGGACCCTATTTTCTTCTGGGGCCCTTCTCCCCCAGTATGGAGCCAAGGGCTAGACATTCTCTGTCCTCAGCCCTGGCAGGAAGGGTGTGATGACCATGGCCGGGCCAGTGAGATGGCCTAAGATGCCACACCTGGGAGGAAGGCAAAGCAGCAGCAAAATGTGAACGCGCACAGCGGTGGCGGGTATGGAGGGTTCCTTGGACAGCCTCCTTGACTAGCCATGCCTGGGGCGTGTCCCTAGCTGGGCCCTCCCAGCAGTCCCCTGCCAGAGGCTGTGCCTGGAGCCTGCTGCTCCAGCCTGCCCGCTAACACTGTGACCCACCTGATGTTTCTGTAATTGGTTTCTCGGCTGCACGGCACCTGTCCTCCTGCCTAAGGCAGGGCTGGAGCTCGGGCGGTCACACTGGGAATGGCAGAGGCAGACACAAAACAGACATGTGAAGAGAACGTCAGCAGGGCTGCTGGGGAGCCAGGTGTGGGGGTCAGAGAGGGAGACATGGGGGCTGGCAGGGCCTGGAGGGCTAGTGTCTGCGGGGGTGTTCCGGGAGGGAGGTGGCAGCGGGAAAGGAGATGTGTAAAACTTCAGAGACAGCAGGACATTTCGCTGGAAGCCTCGAGGGCTCCATAGAGATTCCAGGTGCAGTATGAGAGAGGACAGGGCAGGGGTAAAGGTCCGGAACACGCTGCGGACCTCCACCTGGCTCGCTCCTCCTCACCATTTGGCTTCCACCGGCATGTCCCCTGCTCAAAATAGCCACTTCCCTGCAACCCCATCACCCCCTTCCTCTGCTTTATTTGAGTGCAAGTGCTCCTCGTCCTAGAACCTACATTGTTTGTGCTTCCCTGCTATGAATGAAAGTTTCCTAAAGCTGCAGACATTGTCTCGTTAACTGCTGTATCCCCAGCATCTACAACAGTTCATAGGAGGTGCCAAATTCATGGGTGTTGGATAAATAAGTACATTTAGGAGTTGTTCACAGAGATGACAATTGTTGCCACAGAAAGTGGACGTGTCCACACAGATGGGAGAGGCTCGTAAGCACATCTTTGGGAAAGGACAGATGCAGTCTAGTTACAGAGAACCCAAATGGACTGGAGTTAAAGGAAGGGGCCATGAAGCTCACCATGGTGAAATCAAGGAAAACAATGGTTTAAAAATCCATTGTGCAAGGAGACAAGGAGACCACTGATGGGACAAAGAGGTGGAGGAGGAGGAAAGGATATCAGGACCCGAAGTAAATGCAGAGACTTTAACCCCAGAAAAGAAGGCCAAGTCTTCAAACGGAAGAGAAATAAGGTTCCTTGTAGCAAGACAGCCACATGATAGGAGTTCTTGGTTAAGTTTCATCCCATCTGAAGAGCATCGACACCAACCTTATTCTTAGCAGAATCACACTTTCACCACCCCGCCTTGACCATGTAAGGCCTCTGCCAAATGGGTCCGGTGTGGTGACAGCAGTCATACGCAAAGACCTGATGTTTTCTAGGTAAGGAAAACACCCAGAGCTAATTCTAAGAGCAGTGGTCTTTGGAGCATGCAAAAAAAATTTTTCAAGTAGCTTACAGCCAACCTCAAATCCTCACCATCAAATCTCAGATGAGGATTTAGACTCCCTGGGGTTACGAATGGTTTAGCAGGCCTTTTGGACGCTAGCTGACAGCAAGTTGACACTGCAGCTGAAGTTTTAGCTGAAGTCTTATACCTCAAAAGCAATATCTGATAAAGGATCTCTTTAATTATAAATATATTATTTAAATATATTTTGAAAGTATAAAATATTAAAAAATATGAAGTCCTGTTCTTTCCTACTTTTGGTTATGAGGGGGCTACGTTGGCAGCACACACATCATGCCGATTTAACCCTTTGGGCTGCAGGCCTAGCAGTTTCTCCCCTCTCTTCCTCAAATGGGAGGCGGAAATCAGAGACCATGTTGCTAAGCTTCTTCCCAGCACCCAGGAACCCAGGATCGACACAGGCTATTACTTTTATTATTTTTTTAAATGAAAAGCACTTGTCTGACAAGATTCTGAACACTTGTCCCGTGTGTGCCACAGACCCAGGCAGCCACTGGAAAGCACTTAGGTTGGAGTCACACAGACCTAGTCTTCACCAGCCAAGTGCTGTCAAATGTGCCACCTCACCTCTCTGAATCCCACCCGAGAGCTGAGGCCTAGCAGGCTTAACGCTGCACGTGGGATCACAAGTGTGGGCAGCATGAGGTCAGTTCTTCGTTCACTCTCCAATACCAGTCTCTACCAGAGGTTTGCTGAAGAAAACAAACTGGTTTGATTATGCCTAACAATTCTTCCTTTCCAACAAGCTTTCTAGAACCAAGGAAGAAGCAGAAATCTTCCCGTGCGTAACAGTCTCTTCATCATCATACTCAAAGCCAGTATTTAAATTCCTCGAAGAGGCAGAGTGCCCTCACATCCCTCTCCACGCTGGCTGAGCCGCAGACCTGGCAGTGACGTCTGCACTCCCCTCTGCTCAGTGGTGCGCCCTCACCCCGGGTCTACTTCATTCCTGCTCCCTATGGTCTTCTCATAGGGACATGGAGGACCAAAGAGGCTGCCGAATAAGAGCGCTGTGTAAATAAATAAGGTATTAGAATGGATCTGAACCAGTTAGTTGCCATGGAGCTTACATAACTAGTCTCCCACTGGGGAGCCTCATGAAGTCGGCAGCTGGGATCCCAGTAGGTGCAAAGGAGAAAAGTCCCGCAGGGGACTACCTCCAGCTCAGGCTCACTCACACTGCGGCTCTGTCTCTACCTTTCACCTGCGCTTCCACTTACAGAGCTCCCTGACATGCGACACTAGAAGGGCCAACACAGTGTCACCTGCTACTGTCACTCAATTACTTTCAAAGTAATGTCTGGTGCCTCCAGCAGTACCTACTTCCCACAAGTTCCTCCTCGCCCTCTGTCTCCCACAGTTGCTGGTGACCTCCTTGGACCTCAATCCACATCGAGCCAATCCCTGGGCTAAACATTGTTTCCAGGTGATAAGGATGCCACTGACAACAAACTGGAGAGAAGCAGCACAGTCGCCTACCCTCCCCGGGGGGCACAGAGCTGCGCCTCTTAGCTCACCAGCGGGCCCCCCTCAGAGTGCCAGCCTGAGCGCGAAGGCACGACGGATGGACAGCAGAACCCGGGCGGGGGCAGGCGAAGAGCGCAGTCTCACAGCAACGTTAAATGGGAACAAATCAATGACCCTGACACGGGGTTCGAACACAGGACGCAGTCCTTATCCCTGTGGAGTCTACGGATGTGCCTCTCACCCTCCCTCCAAACCTGAGGGTCTCGTCTTCGACTCCGCCGCTGACCGCCCCAGCCCACCGCAGACCAGCGCGACTTCGGCTGTGCCCCTCCCTCGGGCCCCCAACCGCTCCCGCCCTCCAGCCCCGCCGCCTCGGCCTCCGCGCAGCCCGGAACCGGCTCCGACCCCGGCGCGGCGGCCGGGAACCCGCTCCCCGGCCCGCCCCGCCTGACTGCCGCCGGCGGGTCGTCGCCGCGGCCCGCGGGGAAGGCTCGGCGGGGCTCTCGCGCGGGGTCCGAGCCCGCGGCGGGGACGGCAGCCCGGCTCTGGCCGCGGGGACAGCCGACCAAGCCCGGCGCCAGCACACTCACCCGCGGTCCCCGCAGCCCGGCCGCCGGGCGGGACCGAGGCTCGTGACCAGGCCGGGCCGTACCACCGCCTGGCCCGCGGGGGCGCGCGGGGCCGCCGGGGCGCCGAACTGCGAGGCCAGAGGGGCCCGCCGGGCCCCGCACACCTGGGACGCGGCTCGAGTCCGCAACGCCGAGGTCTGGCGGGAAACCGGCGGCCGCCGCCCGCCCGGTTCTGCCGCCCCCGTCGGGAAGTACTGAATGGTTCCAACCCCACGGCCGGAGACGCCGGAGGAAACCATTTCAAAAGTGGGGGAATGCTAAAATTTGAAAACCATTTTAGAAGAGGTTTCAGGGAAAATATAGCCAGCCTAAGACTCTCTCTCCACATACAAGAGAAAAATACAGAAAAGAACGTTATGAGAGGCTGTAACTTCTTTCGGCTTCACCGCCGATTTTTAATAACCGTTGCGGCTGGAACCTGTCTTCTCCCTACGGGGAGGGTGGACGGTGCGGGCAGGTGGCGGGGACCTCGCGGCGCGGCCGGGCCAGGTGACCGCGGCCGTGGGGAGGCTGCGTCCCCCACTCGCGGCGGGCGGGGCAGGAGTCACCCCTCCTCCGCTCCCCCCACCCGTGTGGCGCGTCCAAGTTTTTTAAGAAAATGTAAATCAATTACTGACTGACATATACACAGGCGGTTCCCGGATACGGAACAGATACGGTCCTGAGAACGTCGGATTTGTATGTTACTCAGATCCCGGATCGACAGCGCATGTACGGTAATAATAATAACAACGCCATAATGGTTCATATGTGATAATATAGTGTAATACGTAATAATAATAATGCCCTCGTACTATAATGATAAGTTACAGAAACTATTATGCTCTTTCTTTCAGTTCAAACAAGCAGAACATAAAAACAAATTCATACAGAAAGTTTAGATAGGCAATAGGAGAAATGTTTAAAAAGAATATTAAAGGTTTACACTCAGCTATTGTTGCGTCACTGTCTTGCTTACTGGAAGGGGCATTTTTGAGGCAAGAAGTTAGCTGACATTAATCGGAAGATGATGATGGAGGTGGTGCTGGAGAGTCAGATTTTGATTCTGTTGTGGAGGAGGGACTGACCACTGAAGTTGGTTTCTTGAAAAAGGTATCTGGGGTTGTTTGCACAGCCTTTTTCTTTTTTTCATCATAAATGGCCTTGTAGCAGCTGATGTTCTCACTAACTGGACCGTAAACCTTTGCAAACCATTCAATGTTAGGATGTTGCTCCTGGAGTTTAGAAAATCCTGCTTCAATGAGATGAAAGGCTTGGCTCTTTCTTTCTTTTTTTCTTTTTCTTTTTTTTTTTTTTTTGAGACAGAGTCTCACTCTGTTGCCCGGCCTAGAGTACCGTGGCATCAGCCTAGCTCACAGCAACCTCAAACTCCTGGGCTCAAGTGATCCTCTGCCTCAGCCTCCCGAGTAGCTGGGACTACAGGCATGCGCCACCATGCCCGGCTAATTTTTTCTATATATTTTTAGCTGTTCGATTAATTTCTTTCTATTTTTGGTAGAGACGGGGTCTCGCTCTTGCTCAGACTGGTCTCGAACTCCTGAGCTCAAATGATTCACCCGCCTCGGCCTCTCAGAGTGCTAGGATTACAGGCGTGAGCCACCGCGCCCGGCCTCAGCTCTTTCTTTTGTCATGAACTTTCTCAGCTCTGGATCTTCTGATTGTTGGTGTTCTTATGTTTCTATCAGCTGCTTCTCCATCTACCTATGAGACTAACTGCTAGCATAAAGATGCCGCACCAAGGAACTGCTTACACCATGTGGGTTTGTTTACATGCTCAGGAGAAACTAATTCCCAAATTATTAATTTAATTATAAATTATCCTTATGGGGAGCCTTGAGAGCCCATTCGTAAGTATGGACCGGCTGTTAGTTGGGTCATCCCTAACCTGGGGACTGCCTGTATCCATAGCAGCATTCATTATTCATAATAGCCCAGAAGTGGAAACCACAGTTGATGAATGGATATCCATACATTGGCATATTATTCAGCCATACAAAGGAATGAAGTGAACTTTACATGCTACAATATGGATGAACCTTGAAAACGTAAGTGAAAGAAGATGGTCACAAAGGACCCCATAGTAAATGCTTCTGTTTATATGAAATTTCTAGAATAGGCACATGCATTAAAATCAGAAAGTAGATTGGTGGCTGCCAGGGGCTGGGGTTGGGGGAGGTTGGGAGGAAATGGGGAATGACTGCTAATGAGCACGTGGTTTCTTTTCGGGTGAGAAAAATGTTCTGTGATGGGTTGTGGCAATGGTTACACAACTCTGTGAATGTACTAGAAACCATTGAATTGCACATTTTAAATGGGTGAAATGTAAAGCTGCTAAAAAAGAAAGCCAGTAAGCCTGCGAGCCTGCCATGGGGACAGCTATCATGGGTCAAAGTGACACCTCAGCACAGTAGGGGAGCAGAATGTCAGACCAGCACTCTGGAGAAGGGCAAGCACCAGCAGGCACCAGAAAAAAGAAGAAGAAAGAAAAAACCTTTACTGTCCAAAATGGAAGCCACTAGCCATATTTGGTTTTCAATTTAAGGTAATTTAAATCCAATACATCTAAAACTTCAGTTCCTCGGTCACACCAACCATGCTGTAAGTGCTCAGTTGCTCCAGGTGCCTAGTGACTACCGTATGGCACAGGGCAGATATGGAATGTTTCCATCCTCACAAGTTCTGTTAGACAGCGCTGCTCTGGAATAATCTCTAGCCCTGCTTTTTATCTTTGTTACTTGTTTCTG